ATAAGTCCGCTAGGAGTCTAGGGCTAGAGCGCCTTCTACGGGTGCCCCTAATATAATCGGTAATATTCATCTATAGTATTTTAAATATATAGTTAATTATAGAATAATATATTTCCCGGAGTAATAGTTCTAATTCTATATTCTTCCTTAATCGTAGGTCTTACTATTAGTCTTCCTAACGTCGTTAACCCTAAGCTCTATTACTCGATCGGGGACGAAGTTCGTAATCTCTTTAATTTACTAGTAATTTCGCTTACTAGGGTCGTTATCTCCTAGCGATTATAGTCCCTAATTAGTTCTTCGGGGGTTTCCAGGTCCCCCTTTTTAATAATTACTTTTTCGTATACTCTTCGCTAATCGTCTATAGCCTAAGGGAAGCGTTCTAGCTTAAATATCTACTATATTAATACTTTTATAAAGCTATTCCCGAGTACTCGTTACTCTACCTAGACGTAGGCCGTAATAGGGGATAATATAGGATTCTACTATAAAATCTTCTCGACTTCTATACTAAGTTCCTTTTCTTCTACTATTAATAAGGCCTCTCTAAAATAGGATTCCTATTTATCCGTAATAAGTAGCCGGAAGGTCTCTAAGTATTAGTCTAGCGCCTTAATAAGTAAGCGGATTAATATAATTCCTGAAAAGAATTTTCTAATAAACTTTCTCTTCGGGACCTAAGGTATAAACTACTCCCCTAGCTATATTATATATAGTCGATTCGGCTCGTTTAAATTAGTTACTACTATTTAATATAGTCGTAATTACGGGGACTTATAATCTTAGATCTTAAATACTTAGTTTATAGTATTATATTAAGATACCCTCCCTTAATAGGAGGGGCTCTAGAGGTTCTCTATATATTATAACTCCTAGTTATATAATTAGGAGTCGTATAGGCTAGTGATCACTATTCCGTGATCACCGTATAGTATTCGCCTAATAGTGATTACGGTTCCGTGATCACCGAGAGGATCACGATCCCGTAATCACTAACCTTACGGTCACGTAACAGGCTCCACTTATTGCCTGTCCACTGTGCCCGTAACACCTATCTACTATACTCGTAATACTAGGGTTACGTTTTATAGTACCTACTAACTAACTCTATTAGAGAAGCTCCTTCTATTAGGGGCTGCCTGCGGCCTATCGCTCGGCCCTTAATTATTATAAGCGCTTACCTAAGGCCTTAGTTATTCTAGCCTAGAAGTATAAGGGAATGAGGGTATAGGTCCCTGTCCTGTTTCCGAACTGTATTCGCTATTCCGTTTCATTTTCGTTCATATAGGACGCAGCCCACTATACCATTATCGGGTCCGAGTCAGGAAGCGCATAACAACGTGGATTCTGGATTCCTTCGTAATCTTGGAATTGCGGGTCAATTGAACTTTGAGCCTCTCAGCTACGTTCTTGAGGTGATGACAGATTCATCGCGCCTGTCCGGCTAGATCGGCCTGTTAGCCTCCTCCACTTGCGGCTCTTTTACTGCCGGCATACCCGCCTACGGCAGTGCTACGGGACGACAGCTTGGTATTCGCTGCCTTCAATATCGAGCTAGAGAATGACGACGATAATATCGCGTGTCGAACCCACAATAGTCAACAGATCACGGTGTTCCTGATCACTCCGCGGCTCTTTGTCTCCATCAAGACCAATGTATGACATGCCTCACTGCGGACAGTTCGCGGCTTTCGTCCCGCATACTCACGTCCACCATCGTGTTCTCTCCACGTCCTGCCCCATTGACCTACCATGGCGACAGTTGGGGCTCCGCATTACTCCCCGCATTAGTGAGCGGGCGTAAGGGTAGGTTCGTATAAAGCTGGGATCCCGTGCTGTTCGACACCTCATCTTCACTGGTATCTCAACCTCTACGTCACCTAAGCCGCGAAAATGGGCTACTTTGGACTCACCGGACACGCCTTGAGCGTCCTTCAAATTGCCTTGATTGTCTGTCCAGCATTCATTCTCTTCGGTTACAATCAAGCCGGATTAGGCGGACTGTTGACGACCCAAGACTGGACGAAGACGTTTCCCGAGATTGACACCGTCCATACAACCGGCAGTGAGAAGAAGCAAAAGTCGACACTCCAGGGCTTTGTGGTTGCAACATTCACCATTGGAGCTCTTTGCGGCGCTCTTTCCTGCTCATGGACGGGCGATAAATTCGGGCGACGAAACGTTATCTTCGCTGCCGGTATTTGTACGCTCATCGGCGAAGCTCTCGAATGTTCCGCCTTTAGCTTGGCACAACTCATCGTGGGCCGTGTCATCGTCGGACTCGGCATTGGTCAGCTTAGCTCCATCGTTCCGGTGTGGCAGAGTGAGACAAGTGGTGCAAAGAATCGTGGACGGCATGTTGTCTTAGATGGCCTCTTCATCTGCGTCGGTTATGTCCTCGAAAGCTGGATCAACCTTGGCTTCTGGGAGTTCAAGTCTGGCCCGATTACGTGGAGACCATCAATTGCAATTGGTGTTGCATTTTCACTCGTCCTCATCATCTCCATTTACTTCCTCCCGGAGTCACCGCGCTGGCTTGTGTTGAAAAACCGCAGCCAAGACGCCCGAGAAGTCGTCGCCGCTCTCAGAGGCTTTCCTGTCGACTCGATGGAGGTTCATGCAGAGGTCACTGGCATTGAGCACTCTTTGGAAGAAACGAGCAAGGGCGGCGTCAAAATGAGCGATATGCTGAAAATGGGTGAGGATAAGCTCTTGTACCGCTTCGGGCTGTGCATGATGCTCCAATTTTACCAACAGATGTCGTGAGTACTTTTTCAGATTGGTGTCTGCAGATGTTTCTCGTATTGACTATTCCAGGGGCTCAAACCTCATCTCAGTCTACGCAACAATCTTGTTCCAAGAGAACCTAGGAATGGGCACCGAAATGTCACGCGTTCTATCCGGAGGAGCTTTGACTTGGAAGTTTCTATCGTCTTTCCTTGGGTTCGTCTGCATTGATCGTTTTGGTCGCCGAGCTGTATTCATCATCAGCGGTGTTGGGATGTCCTCTTGCATGGTCGCCCTTGCAATCAGCACTTCCTTCCCAAAGGAAAACAAAGCAGCCCAAATAGCTGCCGGCTGCTTCATCTACCTGTACAATACGTTTGTGCCCATTGGGTTCTTGGGCGCCAATTTTCTCTATGCCACTGAGATTGCGCCGATCAAGTTACGGATGGCTATGTCATCTCTGTCCACAGCTAACCACTGGCTATGGTATGTGTATTTCGGTCATTATTGGGAGTTAAGCTGACCATCCCAGGAACTTTGTCGTCGTCATGGTTACACCTGTGGCAATCAGGAGTATCGGGTACCGGTATTACATCGTGTATGCCGTCATAGCTGCTTGTATTCCCGTGTCGGTTTACTTCCTATTCCCTGAGACTATGGGACGAAACTTGGAAGAGATAGACATGATGTTCAGAGAATCTCCGTCTGTCCTGGGAACCGTCCGCTTCGCAAGAAATCGCCCGATTGCGATGCCCCAAGAATTCGATCATGAAAAGGTGGGAGATGAGGCAGACTACGTGGAAACCAGGGAGGAAGTTCGGCCATGAGCATACACCTCAATTGTAGTCCCTTGAAATGATTTACTCTTCTTGATCCCCATTCTGCTTGCATCCTTTAACGAGTTCACGTGTTCATGTCCTCGGATTGAGAGCCTTGAGCTTCTACAGGTATTTCTGGAGCAGACAGGACTGGAAACTTTGTCACTACAATAAAGTTGCGAGCTGGCGCGAGTTCATCGTTGTTTGCATTTCTGGAGACTTTTAGCCGAGACTAGGAACAGAATGACTTGAAATTATCTCTACATGCAATAAACCCCCATTAGGAGCTCGGGAAAACGATTGATGCGCGTGTTCCTATGTATCAGGTCATTTGTTGTTCTCGGCGCTCCTTGCCAAGGGTGGACGTCTTGGTTCGTATGCCAAGTTGCCCAACCCTGAATCATTTTCTCGAACCCCGCACTCTTTCGTCATTCCATATTCCTTCCGTCTTCACTCCGAAATCTGAGCAATTTAGGCCATGGACAAACTTAAAAGTCATTTCAAACGAAAACCGCATCATGTCCTGGAAAGAAGCCGACAGTGGCACGATCCAGTTATCGAGATCTACGACAACATCGCTTCGTCCAAGGCTCCGTGCTCTGTCCGGGCATACGATGTCGCCAATAGGCGATGGTATCAACTAGATGTTGATGTGGCAGTCAGTGACGACGCATGGTTGTCATCTGTTGTCCAAAAACATGTCAGGGCGTACCATCGCGGCCACCGACGGCAACCTCGCTGGAATACAATTCGAACAACACTGAAAGGCAGCCCCGTTGCCTACCATACACAGGAAGAACAAAACATAGCGCTACCCATCACTGAAAGCCTTCGTTACGGCTCTGATCCTGAGGACCGTTTTCCTACCGTTCACTATGGCGACATCCATGACAAAAGATATCTAAGCAAAGGCACAGATGTATGTCAATGGGACGGCCGCAAAGCTGTTTTCAAACGAATCGAATTCACCGATGATATCAAGGCTTTTGAGAGGGCGATCCGCACCCGAGAAAAACTCTTAGCCCACTTGGATAGTCAAGTCGACGGCGAGAATATGTTTGGAGAGATGGAGAAGAGGTTCAATGTCGTCCCTATCCACGCCGTGGTCATACAAGACGCATCACCGGGGCCTTGGGAAGAGGGGTCAGTCGCTGGCGTTCTCATGCCGTTCGCAGGACGCAGTCTGGACTCCCTTGCAAAGCAAGGAGATATCATCATGACCGAATCGCAGCTCTATGACTTAACGCGTGGAGTGAAAGAGCTTAATCGAATTGGGATCATGCATGGAGACATTTGCGACTGGAACGTCACGATACAGTCACAGAAAATAACTGGAGGGACACCTCATCCTGAAGGTGGTAAACTTTTATTGGTGGACATGGGTAACGTCGCTCCGGACTACCAGGGAGACGCACAGGTACTAGGTAAACTGTTTCACTGGTGTCTCCAGCATTCGGAGGCATTGGGACGGATTTCGGATATCAAGCAGAGAGTCATTTCCGCAGCAAACATGTTAGAGGCGGGAGACTTAGACGCGGCTCTGGACGCACTGCAAGATTCGGCAAGAGGCCGAAGAAATAGACAGGTAATCAGCTTTGCGCCATGAGGTGTGTTTAGCATGGTACGTCTTCATCAAGACAGCGCTGCAATTGTTCCTCATGCAATCTCTGATGATGGCTCCGTATTTCAACCAGAATTCCTTTACTATGATTTTTACTTCTGCCCTAATGCTTTCCTTCAGGTCATCTATCAATTTCCTGAGGCGGTATGTCGAAACGTATGGGCATGAACTTTCGCGTGTAAGACTAGATGCAGGTCAATTCATTGTCAGGATTCTATCCGCATGACGTTCAGTTCTCCCCAGTTAAGAGTATACCATTCCCTTGAGCTAAAGCTACGGCTAAGTATTTTGAAAGCAGAGTGATTCGGTTTCCTCTCACCAGCCGAGAGGTTCCATCATATATCCTTGTGAAGTATGTGATCAGCCGTCGGCTGCTCGGAGGTGAACGTCCCCGACTTGTTACCCGTCGGGTCGGCAACAGACCCCTGGCATTGTGACCCCGCCACCCCTCACTTAACCAGGATCTCACGGACTCAGTTGATCGCATGGCAGCGTAAAGTGCGGGGTGACGGAACTTTTGGTCAAATGGGCTTGATCATCTCACATGGTGTGTCACACTCACAGCACCAGGCACGCTTTCAGAAAGACCCCGGCGTTATACGCAGCAACGTATCATGTACTATGCCTACGCAATGATTCTGGGTCCTCGTCATGAGATTGTTATCACTTGCCTTACCTTGCTTGCAGGCTTTACCTAGGAAGGACCGACCATTGGCAGCGTCGTCCGTCGCGTGATGACCAAGATGTGCTCGTTGAGACCTTCAAGGATCGTGCATGAGCATATGCAGTCTCATTCCATATATCCTTTCGATCCGATTAACGGGCCGGCCAACGGGCCGTCGAAACGACTGAAGTCAAATTAAACGCACATTTAGGACGAATTGCCGGGCATGACTTCGCTGCGAAGTATAAATCACTCGTCTTTGCCATTTCTTCGACCTTTTCAAAAGTCAGGCGAATGACTTTCATTCCGTGAGACTACAACCTGTTTCAAACGGCGTCTCAACCTCGAAATGTTGCCCTCAGTTGGTGCCCAGACAGTTCTGTTCTTCGCCAATATTGCCTCAGTAACGGGGCGCTCACTATGGTCCTCGGTTCCGGCTACCCACGGCACTCGAAGTAGTGATATATACCTCCTCAAAAAGGCCTATCCTGTTGGTAATGGGAAACTTGGAGGTGAGAATGGACACAGTAATTCTGAAGCTGCACTGTCTGACAGCTGATTAGCAATACCTCATGGGCCCCCTGGTTCAGAAAAAGTAATCATCAATGTTGATTCTCTATGGTCCGGTGGGCCATTTGAATCCGAGGTAACTTTCCCCTGGCCACCTTTGCTTCGGATATCTGACATAATGGCACAGAGCTACTCAGGTGGCAACCCGCCATCTCCGAAACACGAAGCCTTACCGGGCTTGCGAGCCAACATCTTCGCAAATGGCACTGGACGTAAGTCATGAATATCTCGAATTAGGTCGAATCATGTGTAATGGATAAGCTGTATAGACGTCGATCCTATCCTGGGCAAAGGCGACCATTTCGGTGCATACCGAACACTGGGCAACTTCAGTGTTGTTGTCGAAGAAATGGGCGACTTTTCTGACTATCGCCGGACGCTCGACTTGACCACAGGTATACATACTACTGAATTTGACACCGGTGAAGCTACCTTTACTACTGTCGTCTACTGCAGCTTTCCAGCAAAGGTATGTGTCTACAGTATATCAACGACCGGCAAGACACTTCCCAAGGTGAGGTTCGGCTTTGAAAACATCCTCGTGGAGGCAAATTTATTCAACGTCACCTGTGGGGACCAGTACGTTAAAGGGGTTGGCGTGACCCAGCTTGGACCCCCTCTGGGTATGAAGTACGAGTCAATAGCTCGTATCACAGGAAGACCAGGCTGTACAAAACCAGCCACAGAATGCTCTGATGACGGCTCGTTGTCTGTGACCGTACCAGATGGTCAGAAAACACTCACAATCGTCATTGGGGCAGAGACGAACTTTGATCAGTCCAAAGGCAATGCGGAAAGTGGCTACAGTTTCCGTGGCGTGGATCCTCACGAATATGTCGAACAAGTAACCAATGACGCTGCAACACAAGGTCGCCGGACACTTCTCGAAGGTCACCTTGAAGACTATCAGACTCTTCAAGGTGCTTTTACTTTTGATCTCCCCGATCCGAACAAGTCGGCGCAAAAAGAGACCGCTGCACTCATCCAAGAGTATGATTCGGACGGTCCAGGAGATCCCTTTTTGGAAGCTCTCTTGTTCGACTACGCTCGACATCTTCTCATCACATCATCGCGAGAAGATTCCCTTCCGGCCAACCTGGCTGGGCGGTGGACGGAAGAACTTTGGCCGGCTTGGAGTGGTGATTACCATGCCAACATCAACCTCCAAATGAACTACTGGGCTGCTGACCAGACAGGGCTCAGTCGGACCCAAGACGCGCTTTGGAACTACATGGAGAAAAACTGGGTACCTCGTGGCTCTGAGACGGCACAGCTTCTTTACAACGCCAGTGGCTGGGTTGTGCACAACGAGATGAATATTTTCGGACATACAGCCATGAAAAACGCTGCCAGCTGGGCATTCTGTGAGGTGCCTTCAGTTCCGTCTGAAATTGCAACTTGCTAATCAGTTGACAGATCCGGCCGCTCCCGCATGGATGATGCAGCACGTTTGGGACAATTTTGATTACACACAAGACATCGGCTGGTTCAGGGATCAAGGATATCCTCTGATTAAGGGAGTTGCGGAGTTCTGGCTCTCTCAGCTGGTCGAAGACAAATTCAGCAACGATGGAACACTGGTCGTCAATCCGTGCAATAGCCCGGAGCATGGGCCAACAACTTTTGGATGCACCCACTATCAGCAAGAGATTCATCGCGTGTTCGATACAGTCTTATCTGGCGCTGAATACGTTCGGGAAGACGATACTGGCTTTCTTGAAGATGTCAAGTTGAGCCTCAAAAAGCTGGACAAAGGCCTTCATTTCACTAACTGGGGAGGCATCAAGGAATGGAAGCTTCCGGATTCTTTCGGTTTTGAAGAAAAGACTACGCATCGCCATCTTTCTCATTTGACAGGTTGGCATCCAGGATATTCGGTTTCATCTTATCTAGGCGGCTATACGAATGTCACGATTCAGTCAGGCGTCAGGAAGACGCTGGAGTCTCGTGGCAATGGCAACGGGCCCGATGCGAACGCTGCCTGGGGCAAGGTCTGGCGGTCTGCTTGCTGGGCGCGTTTGAACAACACAGACATGGCGCACTATCATCTCCGCTATGCGATTGATGTCAACTTTGCCGACAATGGTTTCAGCATGTACTCGGCGCGCAATGAACCGTTCCAAATTGACGCCAATTTCGGGCTCGCGGGAGCGATACTGAGTATGCTGGTGGTCGACCTACCCCTGGCGCACGATGCTCCCTCTCAAGAAATCAGATCGGTGGTCCTTGGGCCTGCGATCCCCGCATCCTGGGCCGGTGGCAGTGTCAAAGGACTTCGTCTTCGAGGAGGTGGCGCAGTTGATTTTAGCTGGAACGACGATGGATTAGTCACTGCAGCGGCATTAACTGGATCCCGAACGACAGTGAGGCTCGTAAATGTCGAGGGTACAGTTTTGTAACCGAATTGATCGCGCGCGGCGCATGATTTAATTGAAGACTACCGTCTTGGTTTTGTTGAGGAAAACGCGTCCCTCGGCCGTCCACTTGACCGCAGCGGCCAAGACCTGGCTCTCGACATTGGCTCCCTCCTCAACCAGCTCCTTTGGGTTCAGGCTATGATCGACCCTAGAGACACGCTGCTCGATGATGGGGCCTTCATCAAGGTCAGCCGTGACGAAATGAGCAGTAGCGCCAATGATCTTGACTCCGCGCTCATAGGCCTGGTGGTATGGTTTGGCGCCCTTGAAGGATGGCAAGAAGCTGTGGTGGATGTTGATGATGCGTCCGGACATAGCTTCGCACAGTCTCGGCGAGAGAACCTGCATGTAACGGGCGAGGACGACAAGCTCAATGTCGTGCTCCTTGATGAGGTCTAGGATCTTCTGCTCCTGCTCGGCCTTGGTGTCTTTGGTTACGGGCAGATGCTTGAATTCAATGCCGTAGTTGCCAGCCAGTTGCTGGAACTCCGGGTGGTTCGAAACAATAAGGGGCACCTCAATGTTCAGCTGGCCAGCCTTGGTACGGAAGAGTAGGTCATTCAGGCAGTGGCCGATCTTGGACACCATGATCAAAACACGCAGCTTCTTCGCAACGGGTCGAATATCGTACTCCATCTTGAGATTGGCAGCAAGTGCGCCAAAAGGCTCATCCAGATGCGCCGTCGACTCCGATGGAGTGGGACCAAAATGAACACGCATGAAGAACTTCTCAGAGACCGGGTCGGAAAACTGCTGGAGATCCAGAATGTTGAGGTTCTGTTCGGCAAAGATGCCTGTCACCGCGTGGACGATGCCAGGCTTGTCCGGGCAGGACAGGGTCAGGATGTGATCGTTAGCCATGTTGAAAGGCGATGTCGAAACCGTGCAAAGGAACTGTCGTGGTTGTTGGTGTCGTTGTTAAGATGAAGGTGAGTCAGTGTGACGATGATGTTCGTTGGTGGATGAAAATGTCAGGGCTTACTTAACCTCCGTGGCTGAAAGCATGTTTGGCGGGGGGGGATTTGACCCACAGCGGCCGGGCTCGCGCGTGGGCATTGGCTCCGTTTTCAGTAACGTCGGAGATCCTTCGGCGTCGCGCTTTTGCTGGCCACGTACAGAGAGAGTCTAGCGCTTGCGGAATGCCCGGCTGTCATAGTTCAGGACGTTGAAAAATAAACGCCCAAGGAAAAGAGCGTACACGAAGACGGAGGCTGCTCGAGGTTTAATGATAGCATGCAAGCAGCAATGCGATAGTTAAATGAAGACATGTGGTGACAGCTCAGCTATCCGGCAATCTAGGAAGAATCGCTATTGTCTGCGCAGGAAAAGGCCCCTCCAATTTCCCCGTTGGCATAGGCGTTGATGATGTTCTGCACTACGCCGTATGTGCCGCCAATCGTCAGAAAAGCAGCCAGGGCAATCATGAGCCAGTTCAAATAGTAAACCACAGCCTGCCACCAGCGGCCCCGGCGGTAGTGTTGGTGATCATGCACCCAAAGGTACCCCGGCAGCCCAAGTGCCAGTGGCGAGAAGGTTAGACTGCCCGCGAGTGCGAGAAGATAATTGAAAATAGGGATGCCCGACGCGAGAAGGAAAGATACAACACACATGCTGCCTGTGCATCCAAACCAAACCGACCAATGGACAACTGAGTTCTTCTGTAGATGCTCAGAGTTACGCAGGATACGAACGAACATGTACTTGGCCGCGACATGGACGTACAGACAGGCGCTGACGAGGAGACCAATCAAGCCAATTCCGTAGGCTACTTTCTTGACAACGTCGCCAGCACTGCCGAGAGACGGCGAGGCCACCCACTGGCCACAGTAGCGATAGACAACCAAAGAGAAGGTCAGGTAGGACGCTGTGACGATTCCCATGCAAAGGTAAACGGCTTTGTTGTAGTCCCGGGGCTTTCGCATCTCTGAGATGACAGGTAGAAACGCTGAGGTTCCGGCCCCAGAGCAGAAGATCGTGGCCACCGACGTGATACCTGTGACGAATGTCGGATTTCCGATAACATGATAGCCCAGTTCGAAATCTCCGGTCTGTGGAGCAGCTGCAGGACGATCACGGGTGGTGACACCGACGCTGTTGAACTGTCAGTCGGGGTTCCCCGGCAAAAGTCTCGTACGAACTCACACGACAACGAAGACAGCAATGTAGACCGAGAGAAACCCAGCCCACGTAAGCCATGCAATCTTTTCGAATTTCCGTACGCTTGCAAGAGCAAAAACAGCAATCGTTGCAACGAGCATAAACCAATTCGTGCAAATAGCGTGGCTCGATAGTGCATTGAGGCCGACGGAGGATCCAAATATGCCACTGGCCGCAACAATTGCGTACGTGACGAGGAAAAGCACGCCGACAATTTCCCTCAGCCAAACACCGCCGACAACGTAAGCCATGTCGGCGATTGAATGGCAGCCAGCATGCGTGTTGCGGAAGTTTCCTTGGATAATAGCACAGTAGGTGTTCAGAAACTGCCAGCCCAGAACGTTGATGGCGCCAGGTAGGGCCCCGAGAACGAACATGGCGGAAGGTATACTGAGTACCCCAGTGGCGAAGATCACTGAATGCTTATGAGCAGCTGAATGCCATTGGTATAGAGAGAGAGAGGAGAGACGCACCTTTGAGAAAAATGACCGAAGCATGGATCCAACCTACAGTACGGAAATCGACTGTGCCCTCGCCCTTCTTGAAAACCTCAAAGGAGTTATTGCTGTCATCTGCTTTGGCGATTTCGATGCTACCGCTTGTCCGTGCTGGAGCAATGGCATCAGTGCCCTTTTCTGAATCCCTAGTGGACATGCTAAATTCCAATACGTGGTGGCCTTTGTGTGAGAGAAAATGCGTCTAGATCTTTGTGATTGAAGAAGGATCGACATGTGTATGACAGTAAGACGAATAAACGCCTTTGTTAAATAGAAAGCGATACCTATCTTCTGCGTTACTACAAGAAGGAGAAGCAGGCTTATCTCCAAAGAGGAGATTGGCCTGGGTCAGCTTTCAGGACATGCAGGCCCAAATCATGACCAACATGAGCAGAACGTTCCCCGGACCTGGGTTACATCTGCAAGTGCCGCTAAGTGGGAACCGAAGTGGAGTGATTGTCATTCATGTAGGTGCGTGATGATAAGGTTGGGGTCATCTCGACATCTTGGGGTAATCTAGCATCTCTGGTTGGTTTCACGTTGCTCTAACCATCACACTAAACCCCAACTTTGATAACCACAGAAAGTGTCAGTCACACATTTGGAAGCGGGGTAGATCTGACTTGCTTGAGCGGCATCTGGAGCGTGGAGAAGCGCTCGTGACAAGTATTCGTCCATCATGAAGACGCGAGTCTCCAATCCTGGCCGCGGGACTGATTCTTGGCAAGCGGGTGATCCTTATCACAGCATACCATTTAGGCACCACTGGAATTGATGACTGAGATGTGATGTTGAGATGGCTTGGTGAAATTCTCAAGCGGACTTTCGAGATTGGTTGATTGTCAATGACATGGCAGGAGACTTGAACAGAACCTGAAACATTCATTGTAGGCAAGATATGCGATTTCCTCAACTCTCTGCATTAATAGCTATCCTCAATATGGCGTCGTAGACTCTTTCAGGATGGCTCCTGGTCTGACAGGCAAAATTGACCCCTCTGGGGCCGCGTTTCTACTCTTAAAATCATCGCAAATCTGTTCCATTGTGACAAACTCCACTCCTTCATGACTCTTCATGTACTCGATAAGCCTCTCATGCATCAATAAGACGTGAGGGCGCCCGGAAACATCAGGGTGTATCGTTAAGGGAAATATGAACTCGTCATACTCCCGATAGAAGTAATCAAAATGATCTCTCCAGATATCTTCAACGTCGCGTGCGTTCACAAAACCATGGCTGTTTGGCGCGTCTTTGATAAACATCATTGGTGGGAGGTCGTCGAGATACCAGTTAGCGGGTATTTCAACAATGCCAGTGTTCTGCCCTTGTACAAGAGGCTTCATCCACTCGCTGGCTTTCTTTTTGTAGTCGATCTTCGTCCAAGTATCTCCGGTGCGAAGGTAGTAGGCCTGGCAATCGTGGTGACTCATGCTGTGGTCGTACTCAATCCCGTAATCGGCCAACAGCTGACAGCCTTCCTTCGAGGTCTCCCACCAAGGTGCGACGGAACCTCGAGGAGGTTTACCAGCAAACTCAGTCAACATGCGGTACGTCTTATCGAGGACCTCCTTCTGCTGTTCGATAGTCATGTCTGTGGGGTTCTCTTGAGAGTACCCATGCAGACCAATCTCATGGCCAGCATCACGAACGGCAGCCATCTCTTCGGGAAACGTCTCGAGGCTGTGGCCCGGGATGAACCAAGTGCTTTTGATGTTGTACTTGGTGAAAAGCTTCAGAACCCTCCTGGTTCCGACAGTGCCGGCAAAGAGACCTGTTCTTGGGTGAGTATGGAGTCCGTATTATGTTAACGAGCACCTACCTCTGCTGATATCGTTCGGTGAATCTTCTCCGCCATACGAGCCCAGCCACCCGGCAACGGCATCAACATCGACGCCATAGCTGACCAAAACACGTTTCTTGCCCATGGTGGCGTATGAGGAGGGGTGAGTAATTCTGGAAGATGCTGTAAGTGTGCCGTCGATTGCGGGGGCATGTGCGGTTAGAGTGACATTTATCTACCGAGTACCCTCCACATCGATCCTCCCTGATCTGCGGGTGCTACAATTGGATTTGTAGTGGAGTACGTCATGGCCCCGTTGGAGACTAACCCCTTATCGCGGGGTAGTTGCTCAGGAGGCCGTTGCCTCCAACTACGGGCCAGCACCGTTGGGGTAAAGACAGTGGCGATGCTGCTTCCACGATATTTGGCTTATCATGTTTGATCAAGATACAGGAACGTAGTGCAATTTAGCATAATCAGACCGCGCTCCTGCCAGGTAGACGACGGGGGATCTAAGACGCAGCGATATCAACAAGCTTGGCTGAGGCTTTGGCCATGGTTGAAGCATGCGACGTATGTACGTCCAACGGTTGTGATATACTTTCGAGGCATTCAGGTGCTTGCATGTCTTGTGCTCGACACGCTTTCCACTCAAACGCCGACTCCCATGCCTGTCCTACCCTGAGAATACTGCTCTCTCGCCACATACCTCGACGATCTGCATGCCGACGGGAAGCATCGTATTCTGATCATCTGCAGCTCCTGCGAGCCCCACTGGAAGTGACATGGCAGGATGACCAGTGATATTGAAAATGGCTGTGTTTGAGGTGAGTCCAATACTCGGTTCGAACGAACCCAAGACTGAGTCTCGAGGCCCATGGCGAGGAGCGACAAATGGGGTAGTAGGCATGACGATGACATCGTATGATTGAAATACGCGATCATACGCATCTCTCAGTTGCCTCCCAATGTTGACGGTCTTGCTGTACAGGCCTGGAAACTTGTCCATAAGGTAAAGCCCGTTGATGACGGTGTTCTTGGTTGAAGGAAATAGTTTCTGAAAGTTGGAGTCCAGCCATGGAAGTCTTGCCTCTTCAAACTCCGTCAGATGAAGACCACGTTGGCCGTAGCCTCGGCCGAGAATGCCCATGGCACCAGCCAGACGCTGTTGGATAGTCCATATTGATGGTCCTTCCACATGGCAAGGTATGGAAACAGTATCGACCACAGCACCAAGCTGCTCTAGTCCCCTTGCTGCGGCAAGGACGCAAGATTTTACATCGCTTTGAACCAAAGCATGGTCGATTCCCTCTTTTAGTACTGCGACTTTGACGCCGTCGAGTCTGTTCGCGCCGGATAGTGTCCTGGAGAACTTGAAAGTCCCATGGGGCCCAGCTCCCACCGACTTTCCGTCAATGTTGTCATAGCCGGCAATGGCGTCAAGACATAAAGCGACATCTGCAACACACCTTGCCAAGGGACCTGCGTGGTCGTCTATGGGATCTCCGGATGTGATGCCGGTAAATGGGACGAGACCATGTGTTGGCTTGAGTCCAACACAGCCGCATAGAGAAGCCGGCACTCGTATACTTCCGCCTTGATCCGTTCCCAACGCGATGTCAACAGTCGCAGACGCTACTAAGGCCGCGCCGCCGGAGGTACTCCCTCCCGCCGAGTAGCCTGTTGCGTAGGGATTCTCAACTGTTCCTTGAGCGCTCGTGAATGATGATGTGGAATTGCAAAAGTGTTCGCATGTTGCAGTTCCCAGAATGTCGGCACCCTCATCAAGGACGCGGGTGACGATGGTGGCGTCTGTGGATGGAGTCCAGGCTGGGAAAGCATCGCTCCCAAAGAACTGAGGGACTCCGGCGACTGCAATGCAGTCTTTCAGGCAGACACTTTTGCCTTTCATTGAGCCTCCTAAAGTGCTGCCTTTGATCAGGAATCGATGAGCCCAGGCGTGGCCAAACTCCTGTTCATCTTCAGCAGGAAGGCGCACGTTCTGGCGAGGATATCGTGAGAGGTCCGGGGCAGGTTGATAGTCCGGGAGGCTCAAAACTCTCTCCGCGCAGTCGTGTACGGCAGCAAGAAGTCGCTCGTACTCTGGAGATTCTTCGTCCTTGATAGTTAGGCCCAATGGTGCCAGGACCTTTTCCACATCGCCTTCCCGAACGGGGTTGTCGCTTGGTTCCACGTCAGTGTGAGCGATCGATATTCTGGGGGTTCAGTCTTACGATGCGATATCCTTAAAGAAGACCGACATAATGATCGTGTGGAGTTGAGACTGTAAAGTCTTCCTCTGTGGTGCCAGTCACGTAATTGTCGTGTGTGCGTCTGATGATGCAGAGAACCATTGAAAATTATTGCTTTTCAATAGGCACAGTAATCGTTTGGTTCACGGGTTCAAGTCTGGACCTGAAATATTTCTTGAAGCGCACGTCAGTGGTAATTTTAGTCATCAAAATCGACGCAACACCGCCGTTTCCATTTCATCACGTATGAGACGTACGACAAATCACGGCCGTTGACGCCGCATGTTATGAGAGAAGCCCCTCCAAATGCGGCCCCAATGGTAGTTCGCCTCCAAATACGACCAGGGGGCATCCTGACCCCAACTTGTTGGAGTCTGTGTGGAGGTCAACTCCAATGTGAGCGGGGTACTCAAAACAGAGTTGACTTGACGTGCACTCACCAGGCGAGCATTTTGAGCCACCATTGCCGTGAACTCTTCATCAGCTTCGGTGAAGTGGCGGCGGCAAAGATTATCTGGATAGCTTTATAGAAGCGTGACTTAATTTCCCACCTTGAGGTGTCGTCAATCTAGTCCCAGCGGGATCACCTTCATCCGCTTCCATTCTCCCAATGGCTGAATTCCAACAACCCCGCATCATGAGGGCTGCCCAGATTGTAGAGGTTGGTATCGTCGTCCTCACAGATGTCTACAGGGAGAGTGACTAAGGAACACTAGTATGGAAAACCATATCAGCTCACTGAGAGACCAACTCCAATTATACGAGATCACGAACTCCTGGTTCGGGTCAAAGCAGCTGGTTTCTGCCATTCTGACCTTCAAGTATTGGACGGACAGTTCAAGTCACCTCTTGGTCTCATCCCATCTCACGAGCCGGCCGGATGCATTGTTCAAATTGGACATCGATGCCATCCTCGTTGGAAGCTTGGTCAGAGGGTCGGTGTCCTCAACTTCAAGAATGCCTGCGACCAATGCGCTGGTTGCAAGATAGCAAAGCAAGCACTGAATCACTTGGATCCGAGGTATTGCGACAACCGAGAGACTGCAGGATTCCAACACGATGGAGCGTTTGCGGAATACATCGTCGCCGACCCAGAAACAACCGTGTTACTCCCCGACAGTCTTTCTTTCGAGCAGGCGGCGCCACTAATGTGCGCGGGTGCCACTGTCTGGGGCTCGCTCGAAAGAGCAACCCAAGGCCTAGAACAAGGCAGTGTTGTGGCTGTCGTAGGCATCGGTGGCCTTGGGCATTTGGGTATCCAGTTCGCCAAGGGCCTCGGTTTTCGAACCATTGCCGTAGATAGCCGCCCAGCGGGCAGGCTATTGGCCAACGAAACATCGAACCCAGCTTTGCGTCCAGATCTTGTAATAGACTCGGGCAGTCCCGACGCCGACAGGCGGATCTTCGAGTTTACAGAAGGCCAGGGCGTTGCGGCAGCTATTGTCTGTACAGACTCATTGATTGCTAACGCCTGGGCCCTCAAGATCCTTCGCATGGGTGGCTCCCTGGGGATTCTGGGCCTTCCCGCAGAGCAGTGGAGGTTTGAGGCCGACTTGATCGTCTTCAAGGAGTTGACACTGAGAGGGACGTATGTCGCAAGCAGAGTCGCCACGGAAAGAATGATGGAGGTCGTTAGCCAATACGGCATCGAGTCTCATTTAGCTATGGCATCTTTTGATGATATCCCAGGCATCGTCGATGCATACAAAGATGCTGATTTCCGAGGAAGACTTGTAGTCAGGATATCGAAGTAGGGACGGAGAGTATGAACCTGGTTGCCTCTGCACTTACCGCGTTCTAATTACCTTATCATCCTGATACGAGCTTACGATACTCCTGAAGAGCCTGCCCCATTACGTTGATGAAAGGCCATTGAGTGTTGCTTTTGAAAAAGTGCGCCCATATCATGAGCACGGCCAGTCCCAGGCTGCGCGGTTCTCTTTCGATGGCTCCGTTGTACTCCTCAGCCACAAAGTCGACTGACATGCATGCTTCGTCGACGATGCACCAGACCCAATGTAGAATGCGATCCTCGCTGTCTGCATGATGTCAGCGAGACGGTTATGGTAAAAGGCCGTACACTTTACCTGTCAAAGGGGTCGCGGCTAGGGTCTCGGTCAACGAGAACAACCACTTGCTCAGTAGGACTGCACACTCTAAGCCTGAAAGCGAATGTCTGACACTCCAAAAAAAGGCCTGACTGCGTGCGACACGATCTACGCCGAGGCGGACCGGGATACTTAGCATGTGTGTAGAATACAACAGAGCCGTGACAACTCCATCGCTTCGCTCCACTGCAGGGGACTGAGCGAGGGCCCGCGCGATACGCCTGGGATCGCGAGTCTCGAGTAGGCGGTATGGCCCTAGGTGTAGGTAAATTCGAACGTATGCCAATCCGAGCAGAGAGCTGGAGGTGAATGGTATAGGTCCGTTCTCATTGTTGGGATCCAGCGTTGACTCCGGAGCCTGCTGCCAACCGGACGTCCACGAACGGAGTCCACTCCTGTTGAATCAGTCAATACTGCAACGCACTTGGTGCAAATGTCAAGCGGGTACTAACTCAAGCTTATCGACTTCTTCCGCCGGCAGCTGAGCCGAGTGATCCATAACGGGAAGAGACAAGTCTCTGACAATGTATATGCGCTGCAGAAGCCCGTGAAGGAGCACGTAATTGCCAAGTGGTGTTGGAATCGGATCCAGAATTCCCATGCCGTCGTCAGCCTTCTTCAACAGCAAGGACAACGCATGCTGAAAGAACAGCTGCTGCTTGGATATCTCGCTGTGAGCAGCCTGCCACTGCATTGCATTGGGTGCCTTCCATTCCTTGGTCGAGCACGGCAATCTGAGGTTGATTTCGTTGCTCCGCAGAACAGGATAGACGTTGTATGCAATACTGTGTATGTGAAGAAAAGAGAACGCGATCAGCTTGGTGCGTCGGACGGATTCCTGCCGTACCCAGGCCTCCCAAACTGCTTGGGATCCGTTGGTGCCGTCTGTCAAGGACGGATGGGTTTCCTCGCCGAGGCCGAGATCACGAAGAACCTGAGCAAGGAGTCCTTGCAAGGTAAATGCCTCTTGGAGAAGGGCGACCTTGGGTTCCCAAGTAGCATAGCCCATGAGAAGAACGAGAGCGCGTACCGTCTCAATGGGTTCCCAGGTTGCCCACTCATTGAAAGGGTCTCGTGCGACGTGCTCGGGTCGCGTGGCTCCTTTAAGCGGCGAGGGGTCATGGAGACCCAGGTAGGAGCGGCTCTTGGCACCAAATTTACCAGCCTCGCGTCGTATCCTCTCTACGAGGATTGCTTGGCCAGCATGGAATAGCGACTCTGAATTGCGACGTTCGAAGCAGTACTGACTGCCCAAAGCTGCAATCCCGAGGATCAGTTCCAAAGCATGGTCCGATAGCCGCCACGTTGCGACATGGATGAAAGGCATATGGGAATGAAACCCCTCAAAGAAGGAGGTCACATATCGCGTCAATGCATGGCGTGATGGGAATTTGAAAGTAGGATCAAGAACATCGCGGAAAGCCTCTGTCGCAGCAATGAGGCGGGAACGCTGGTCGTCAGTGACCCTGAAGGGTTGAGAATCACCTTCATGGGAACGAGGGCCTAATATTCGTAAGCGTACGTCACTCGTGTATAAATCCAATCATGGCCTTACTGTATTCTGTAAGATCATGGTGCAGTCGATTCTTTGCAGGGGCTGAGGGAAGCCAAGCATTGAACGGTGTACCGGGTCTCTGGTTCTGCGTGTAATTTGCATCATCTCTGTTGCGCAAGGCAGGATCCAGGACATCTTCTTTCTCTGGGCCCTGAAAGTAGGGGCTCCATTCTGCTGGAAGCCCTACCCCGTCCAGGAAATTTGCGAACTCACGGAACTGGGCATCGAACCCCGTACTTACGCCATCTATCGCACTGCTATCAAAGAAATGTGGCGGGAGAATATTCTGCTGAAATGGTTGTGCTACCATACTGTTGTTACCATGACCAAGTGAATATATCTCCGTCGGAGTTTGAGCCCGTTGTTGATGGGTTGGGTTTGGCCATTGCGTAGGCTCCACTGTTGTCACAGTTGTAGTGACGGTGGCGTTGGTGGTAGCTTGGTGATCTACCGATGGAACAGAACAGGACGCCGAAGGCGTTGGTTTATCATCTGGGTGTGTGTCCTCGTGAGATGTGATTCTCTGATGGCGGGTTAGGAGATCCCGACGTGTAAACGCAGCTCCGCAATGGCAGATGAAAGGCTTCTCTTTGGTGTCTGGAGTGCAGCACATTTGGTGAGCACATGGATATGAGGCAAGGACGCGGACCCAAGCGTGCTGATAGACCCCGGTTCTCCTATGTTGTTTGCAAGGACTCGGCACTTACGAGTGCGGATATGACGTTCGAGATGCTCGGTACGCTTGAAGGTTCGGCCGCAGTGCGGACATGCGCGTGCACCAGGTACGGATGTAGTCCGCCGCCTGCGCTTATTTTGCGACGGCTTCTGATGCTGTTGCGCGTGGGTATGGGGCAGCATCTCCACGGGAGTCCACAGGAGGGCCTCCCCAGCAGTTTGGAGCAGGTGAAGTTCGCCGCGGCGATGTTGGAGGTGGAAGAGATGTTGGGGGGTGGACATGCGGCGCGGGGTCTCGGGGCAGCTCTGGCTTTTGGGGTCGAACTCGGCTCTCAGTGGAGTCTTACGCCAGAACCTCGTCAGCGCTGATCAGAGGCGCGCCATGAATCGTAAGCGTGCTTCGAGACTGGGGTTATCGAGTGCTGGCGACCTGGGCTACGGGAGTGAGTTGGGGTAAGATAAGTGCCAACGTAGATCCGAAGCTACCTACCCATCCGAGACGATACCTCTCCACCACCACCACCTCGATCTATCTCAAAGATTGGCCTCTCATCCAGATAGATGCATCAAAAAAGGTCCGCCATCCGCATCGTTCAAAAACTCAAAAACCTGTGAACTATTGCCGTGCTCTTTCATCTATCTTTTTTCTTGTGACGGAGCCTCTGTGAGTCAACGTCGAGTTGGAACACGCCAACACACAACTGGCAATGCTCTTGACATTTCCTGGCGTGGCCCTGGTCACTGGAGCAGGAGGAACAGGTTTGTCAGCGTCATTGCACGTCATGTTGTGACGGTCATGGCGCGGCCTTGCTAACAGGACATAATGTGCACAAGGAATTGGCGCAGCTGTGGCCAAAAGGTTCGCGCAGTCTGGCTGCACCAGGCTCGCCCTCACAGACATCAACGCCGAGTCACTCGCCAAGACACGCAGTGCGTTACGGGACTTTCGACCGGAAGCGCAGATATGTAGCATGGCGGGCGACATCTCGAATGATTCCTTTGTGTCGTCTTTCGCCAAGCACGTTTCAAAGACGTTCGGGCGTGTCGATTATGCCGTCTTTAGTGCGGGTGTGCTGGGAGCCTCGTTGCGATCTCACGAAACACCCGTAGCAGATTTTGACCGCATTACAAACATCAACTATAGAGGGACATGGCTGTCGTCGCGTGCCGTTCTCTCCATCATGCTAGAGCAAGAGGCGCTCGCAGAACATCCGAGGCAGAGGGGCGCCATTGTGAACATTGCGAGTCAACTGGGCATTGTGGCTCGGCCCGCTGCTGCTGCGTATTGCGCGTCAAAGGCTGCAGTCATCAACATGACGAGATCCGATGCCATTGACTACTCCAAGGACGGCATCAGGATCAATTGCGTATGCCCAGGGGTGATTGAAACGCCTATGACAATCGGCTCGAAAGAGGTCGCTCAAAGGCTTAAGCCTGCCATCGATATCGCCCCTATGCAGCGCATGGGAACCCCAGAGGAAGTAGCCGACGCCGTGTTGTTCCTCTGCTCGACGCGGGCATCGTTTGTACAAGGGCATGCGCTCGTGGTTGACGGTGGCTATACTATCAATTAATCAAGTTATTGAAAAATGTCTATGCTTGCCTAGGTATCAAGGCGTGAACGCATTACCGTCTTTGCGGAGGCAGCAGGGCCTGTAGGGCATGCAAAATGTCAGCCAGAGGTTCTGGACCGACGGTAAGCACTGGTACCTTATTCAACTATGCACGGGCCACGCAACAGCGGGGCAACCATCTGGTCTCATTGCCCCGCCATCTGCTGCTGACGTCCCACTCTGATGAGGCACACAGTCCGTGCCTTCCTTGTCCTTCTGCTATCGAGACCAGGAAATCCGAATGGGCACGACTGATCATCGACACCACAGTTCCCGTACCCGGCATCGTCATATTCGTCACGATGCAGTCCGGAATATCAGGCAAGACCATTGTTACCTGGGTTGCATGAGCTCACACATCGCTGACTCCCTTTAAGCCTCGAAGGAGCTGGTCTCCCAGTTCAACACTCTGCTCTCGTCCGAGTCGTACTTTGGCCTCCTTGCCACCATTGAGGCAGAAGCCCTCAAACCTATTGACTTTCTGTCGCCAGTCTCCTCGACGGCTTCTTTCTCCGATAACCTCGCGTCTCTACAGCCCCATCTCAAGGAGACTGAGGCTCTCTACATCATCCTTCGTCGCCATGCAACCGCCCCCCACCTCATCGCCATCACCTACGTTCCGGATGCTGCCAAGGTCCGCCAGAAGATGCTTTTTGCGTCTACCAGGCTGACACTGACCCGCGAGCTCGGCTCTGAGCACTTCCGCGAGACTATTTTCACAACCACTGCTTCTGAGCTGACGCCTTCCGGCTTCGACAAGCACGATGCCCATAACAAAATGGATGCGCCGTTGACCGAGGAAGAACAGAGCTTGGGCGAGGTGAAGCGCGCCGAACAAGAAGCGGGCAGAGGCACCGGGGCACGAGAGATCCATCTCAGCCAGAAGATGAAGCTTCCGATGCCGGATGACGCCATCGCCGCCATGCGAGAGGTTGGACAGCACAATGGCCGCGTCCTCACCATGCTGGTATGTCCATGCCTGTCGTGCGACCTATGGACTAGGAAACAGCTAAAGCTAACCGAAATCTGCCTTGACAGAAAGTGAATCCCGACACCGAGAGCGTCGAGCTTGTACCTTCGACCGAGTCGCCGACCTCGATCGCCGAGCTGTCGCAAGCCATTTCGACAACCGAGCCCCGCTTCAGCATCTTCCGCTATACCCATACTCACAATGGGACTGAAACAAGTCCTGTCCTCTTCTTTTACACGTGCCCTGCCAACTCCTCCTCGGCCAGACCTGGTCACAAGGCCATTAAAGACAGAATGCTCTATCCGCTGATGAAGCGTGCAGTTCTCGCCATAGCGTCAAGTGAGGCTGGACTTGAACTTGCCAAGAAGTACGAGGTCGAGGAGCCCAGTGAGATCACAGAAGAGTCGGTTTTGTCCGATCTACACCCCAGAGTTGAGGTCCGACAAGCATTCAGCCGCCCTAAGCGGCCTGGTCGGTGAGAACGCGAAAGAACCAAGCAATTACCTGTTTAGCCGTTCTGCTCGTAACAAATCAAAATCTCTACTGGCGATGTTTCTCTCGCTAAGATGCCTCTTGTGTCATTGTCCTTCCAAATATGACACGTTTCTACTCACGCTTCGTCCAGCAATGCAACCCATCAAAATCTTCCTGGCCCTTTTTACTTCATCGTGTTCATGGAGGACAGCTCCTGATGCACTGTAGCTATGATCAAAACGAATTAGATTTGGTATCTTCGACATTGCTCCCGCAGCATACCATCCATGCAAGGCCGCAAATGCCCCTCCACATCTATCTGCACCGCATTGGGATCAAAACAAATGCAATCTCGTTGCCTCATCATCTATTCCTCGTACTTGCCTCCGGTGAACGCGAGATTGCTCTTCTCAAGTCTTTCCTTAATGTATTCGTACACGGTGAATGTGACAGCTTGGCCAGGGGCAACACGCATAATGCGCGGCGTGATGCCCTTGTAGAATGCGTGGAAACCTTCTTGTCTGTCACACAAAGTCAACGGCAGCTTCGACCGTTTCTGGCAGAAAACTTACTTGAACATGTCACCCGCAATCTTCGTGATACGGCTCCAGGCACTGGTTCCAAACTCGGCCGGCGCCTTCTGCAACCTCGTCTTGATTGTGTCGATGGGCGCGTTGCTCAATGGGCCCATCGCACCACTAACGAGACCAATGCATGTCGTCTGCCAGCTCGGCAAGTTGGTGCCCTCGTACTGAGGTTGCCAGTTCTTGAGCGCCTCCTTGAAGTAGCTGTACGCGGTGAAGTTGACGGCCTGGTTGGAGCCCTGACGCAGGGCTGTCAGACTCACGCCGCGGTAAAGGGCACCAACACCTTCCTCCTTGACCACTGTGAATAACGCGTGCGCAGCATTGCGGTACTTGGGGACGTCGAGCGGATCGGCCATGCTATGGTGTTGCGCCTGCAGGCGGATCTTGATCACCTCCATAGGCGTGACAACAGCGACGGCTTCTGTAACACCTGCAGCAAGGCCGGCTGCGCATTGAATAATCTAGTCAGTCACTTGGTTCGTTACAGAGAGTGTAGAGGATCCCACTTGCCAAGGAACGTCCCCTTCGCGCTGACGACCCCCGTGCTCTTATCAGCCAGCAGCTGCTTGTAGGTTTCGAAACTCGTGAAACGAATGGCCATCTTGGGCACGATGCCAGTCATGACAGCTCCCAAGCCCTTGTACAGCGCTAGAGGCGTCTCACGCTTCACAATCTCGACACCAGTACGAACGAATCCGCGTTTTGGTGCGCCAGGTTGCCGCGCTCGCCTCGACAGCTGCATGCGAACCTTGATCGTGTCTTGTTTTTGTCAATTGGCCGCTCTAGCAAAAGTCAACCTGGCCATGCTTACCCAGTGGATGACACGCGAGCGCCTCCATCATACCGGCAGCGCCTCCGGCTGTAGAGACGAGTCAGTATACAAGCTTCGGATATGGTGCAATGGCCGACAAGTCGTACCAATCAAGTTGGTTGCCACCGAGGGCGGCGTCTTGCCGTCGGCTTTCACCTTGGTAGCCATGTGGTGCGGTGCCAATGTAGCTTCTACCTGGTGACGGGGCGGTGGTGTTTGTGGTGCTGGGGGTCTGACACAGAACCAGCGACGAGATGGAGTGGAATGGGCGCGAAGACAAGGTCAAGCTAATGACGCCAATGGAGAGAGACGCGAGTATGACAAGGACAGAAGGAACAAGAAGAGAAGATCAGGCGAGTGCAGAGGGGACCAGAAATATGACGAAACGGCTTGTCAGATGGGAAACATCCTCGGCGCCGAAAAGGCAGTGCCACGGTTAATAATGGCACCAGCCATGAGACGGCGGCGCGACTGGCGACCGACTGACCAGATGACTCAACGTCTCGCGCGAAACCGCCTTCAATACTTTCGACCAGCTGCTTCGCCCTTTCATCCGCGGCACCGGGATGGGATGGAAAGGGAAGTACCCAGCTAGACTCCTAGCTCTCCCGAAGTGAGTCTGGGGCTGGCCCATGGCAAGCGGAGACGGCGACGGAAGGGAGGCAGGCAGGGGATAAGATACAATAAGCCGCCTACTCCTCCAGAGCCGATTGAAACACGTGTGGGAAGGGGGCACCTCGATGGCTTGCGACAGCTCGGCGTAACGGAACCAAGCCGCTTGCGTCCACATCAGGCTCTGGCATCTGAGAGAACACGCCAATTGACCAACTGAGAAAGGTGCACTGCTCCCAATGTTAGTTTTTGGTGGCCGCTGTGTCACTGGGCGAATGGATGACATTGATCGGCGAGATCATGGCGCGTCGGCTGGCAGACGATCTGGGCTGCACTTCTTCTCTCGGCCTGTGATATCCAAGACGTGACCCAGTGACGTCGCCCTAAGCGGCGCCCAGCTCCTGATGCACAACGACTTTACCGACCGTGAGCCGAGCTTGTGATTGCGGGTTTGCGGGGAAGTCAATTTGTGGGTCCCGGCCCATTCCGGCAGTGGCAGGGCACGTTCATGTGCCCCCTTGGACGAACCCCGCTACATACTGGTGGTGGTAGGTCCTAGACGCGATGGCGATACGCAGATGGTCGAGCCTGTTCTTTGCCGAGGTAAGACTTTTGTTTGTTGCGGCTCAGGCTGTTGTCCTTGTCCATCAGACGCCCACCATCATGTTGTGGTACATGGCAGGTGGAACTTAACCCGCCAAGCTTCACTCGTACCGCGCCACTTTTCCACGTCACTTCTGTTCTCTCGCCAGGCAAAGCCAGAACAGCTGTAAACAAGGGCTCGTTACGTTAACTGAATGACCGGATGTCTTTCTACTCGCCACCGCCGCCCCCGCCCCCGCCGCCCCCGTCACCGCCGCCGCACCCGCTGCTATCGCCCGACACTCCACCACCACCGCCTCCCGGACTATACCCGTCGTTTCTCCTGAATCTAGACTTTCCTTCATTGCGTCCATTCAATAACACATCCAAGGGCTCCCGTTCGACCCCCTTTGGCGCCGGTCTTGCGAAGTCCGGTAAGTATGATTCGAGCCAGTGATCTATAGAGTTGGTCGTGGGGGGCTCAATCTCAGCCTTCTTCCACAGCTGTCGAGCTTCAGCGAGCAACACCCTCGCGCTGTCGGCACTTATGGTGCACTCTGGCTCGATCAGCCACAAGCCTCTGATCAGGCAGAAATCCCAATACTGCCCAGGGAACAATCGATGGGTACGCCAGAGTAGATCGACCTCCAAGGTAGGTGGCATCAGCTTGCCAAAGCGGGCTTTCGATGGGCCAGACGGTTGGCTTCCAGGTTGCCTGTCAACGACCTTGGGATCGAACTTGGATACGTAATGGCCCTGCTTGAACCTGGCTATACTCTCGCGGAAGATCAACACGAAGTCTCTGTAGTCCCCGATGGCCTCGGCCAACCCCTCGGTAAAACGTGGAATCGCATCTCGAGCTCGGACCAAAGTTTTCCAGTACTGGATCGATCGCTCCAAGTCCTCTCGGAGATCCTGCAGGTAAGGCCAGGGGCAAAGCTCGCATTGTTGTGAGAACTCCTCGTGGTTGCTTTGTAGCTTGCAACGCTCATACCGCTTGCCTGTCCGGAAGGCTGTGTATGACGCGATGTCCATCGCTCTGGGCAGCTCGACGCTGGGGCCTAGGGCGCATCGATTCCAGACCTGCATCTTGATCTGCCGTTCAGAGGGAGACGCCTTTTTTTCCCAGGAAGTAGTACCAGCCTCAATGGGCTTATTCGGCTGATCTGGCTGCCCATCATTATGAATCGAAGTCCTTTTCAGCCAACGGGAGAGTAGACTACCCGAGGCAGACTGCCGGCGATTACTCTTTGTATCCTCCCATGGCGGGTGCGTCCACAGTTGATACGTGAGTTCGTGGCCTACGCCTCCAGTCATTTGATTGTACTTGCGCCACGCTCGTTGCGTTTCTTTGGGCGACCAGTCCATAGACAAAATCTTGCTCAGTGGGAAATGGCGATGAATGAGACCAAAAGTTTGGTTGAATCTGGTTTTGCCAGCCCACAAATGCCCATGAAAGCGCGAGGGCTTCATAAGATGACAGTACCAGATCATGGCAACATCCCTACTGGTTATCAGTCTTACTGGCCGCTCCGATAGGTATAAGGAAGCATGCATACAATGGGGGGGGATGATCATTCGGCGTCAATCGGCTGTAGTCGAGGAAACGGAGGTACACGATGTAGCGCCATTCAGAGTATGCCAGCGCTTCATCGTCTATTCCACCCTTCTCGCTCGTCCCAAGGTGTGGTAGCAACTTGAGAAAGAGCTCAGCCAGCTCAATGTGTTGCTGTTGGCCACAGTCAGGTTGATTCTCAGCAATTCAATGTTGTTTATCTTACTCTGGCGGGTTTCTGCAGCGGGATGCGCTTCGTATTCTTGGTCCACACATCCTCAAATACGCAGATGGGTTGCGCGGTCATAGCGATTAAAGGTCGATACGTCTTCGTGGGCTTGGGCGTTCTACGTTGGTCAGAGTATGTCGCGGCTGTAGCGTGCACTGGGACCTAAGCTTTAACAAATCTAAAATAATTGGCGCTGTGGATAACACGAATGGGCTGCACCTCGAAAATGCCTTGCGACTTGGCCTTCTTCTGTGGTGAATGGCTTGCGCCGTGGCCTTGTGGCCCCTGGTCTGCCGCGTGATCACAGTGCTCGGGGCTTAGCGCTGCCAGATCTGCAACAGCTTCAAGCCACCGCCCAGGCACTGAGGCACATTTCACCCCGCAAGGCGCACTTATGTTATAACGAGGTCTCTCTCTCTTCCACAATCGCTGTGAGGCTATCAGAACATATGTTCAGGACCATGTTTGCGTGGGTACTACAGTGTCATTTGTCTCCGCTGTTGACTAACATGACACTTCCAAGCGAATACTCAGGGCACGGTAACTAGATGATACCAGAAGACTCAAACCTTGGTCCGGCTCGCGTCGGTAGCGACGCTTTTCACGCTACCCTTGCTGGAAGCAACGGGGCCTTTGCGCCTACGAAGGAAAAAGAAGATAGCAGCCGCCAGGCCTGCGACGGCCAGCGCTACAACGGCTCCGATAACCCCAGCAACAGCGTTCGACATGCCTCCGCTTCCTTTGTTGTCGCTGCCCTCGCTCTGCGAACTGGCATCATCCTCGTAGGCGGCGCAAAAGTCTTCAGCAGCTGAGCACTTGTTGCACCAAGTACCAACATCGCTGATGGCGCGCTTTCGCGTCTCGGACACAAAGCGCGACCAAGGAAGGGAGTCCTCGCCAGTACCATACAGAGGGAAGGCAGTCAGATCGCCATCAGTGCCATTCTTGAACAGCCAGCGCACGCGGAGATCTTCATTCGGGTTCGCAGGGAATTCCTGAGCGTCGTCGCTGAACAGCTCAAACGACATGGTGGAAGCGTATTCTGGCAGGCCGTAAAAGTTATCAGAAACCTCGAGCAAGCCGGCTAGACCAAAGAAAGCAAGGAAAGTGTCATAACTTCCGGCCAGGAAGGAGAACTTTAGCTTTCCCTTGGACGCAACAGTCTGGTTCAGTTGCGAGAGAACTGCACCCGAAAGTGTCTCCGCACCCAGAGCGCGCATGGGCTGCGACTCGTTCCAGTTGAGGCCATGCTCCGCCGAATCGGCAAGGGTGCGGAGTTGGAAGAGATCCTCGTCTGAAACATTGCGAGCAGCTGAGGTCATGTTGTGGATGCGCGCAACATTGATGAGGTCAAAGATATCGTAGGCTTTGGCGTAGGTCATATTCTCGGGCTTGAGGTTGTAGACACCCTCGCTCAGGACGTCGTAGAAGCTCCCGTAGAAATCACGCGTAGCCTCAACACGCTCTGTGAAAAGCTCGCTCGTCTTGAACGACTTGGATGCATTCACGTAAGCCGGGCAGGCGTCGTCACCCTTGATCCAGATTGTGTCGGGCGAGTTGTCGGCAACGCCGTGCAGCAGGACGTACTGGTAGCCATCGAGAGGACTCGTGCTGTTCGTGCCGTTGTTAAGAGTTTGAGTGGCAATCGCCGGGGCGAGGTCAAGCAGAGGAGGATAGAGGCCCTGGAGGAACGCCGTGGCTGTGCTCAGAAGAATACTCTGGTCAGGCGCGCTGGCAAAGATTTGCGAGCCAACATATTGGTCCGCAGAGACGCCGAGGATTTGGCTGGACGAGCTAGCATCCAGGTAACGGGCTCTGTACTCGCTGCCGACTCGAAAGTTTTGTGACGCACCAAGGCTGGTAAGCCTTTGAGCGCCGTACCACTTGGTCGTGCCTTACGCATGTCAGTCATGTTCTAAGAAGGATGAGACTGGTGTCGTCAGTCATTCAAGACTGGCCCAGAAGGACTTACGATCTCCATGACGACTGAAAACCACTGCACCGTGGACGGTCTCAGCTGTGGCTGTGCTGGCCAACCAAGCAACGGCGGCAATGAGCTGTGTGTACATGACGGAGACTAAGGCGTGGTTTTGAGAAGTGCAGTAATGGTGGTCTGACTGTTTGGGTAGCCAGGGAAGACGCCCTGACTTATATGTACGATTGGAGTTCCTGCACCCTGGATTCTGATATGGGCCGATCTTCAGTGAGGGGTCGATAGTTCGCCTTTTTATTGGCGTAATATGCTGCAGAACAGTCTGGAGAGGGAGTTTTGCACCGGCGCCGTGCCAAGCCAACTCTGCAGCATGGTATCGCCAGTCTGCTTGAAGGGCGCCGGATAGCCGCTAGGCCATTATTCATTGGACACACTTGATTGAAAAGTTCTTTTGGTGGTATCCTCTGGCCCCGCTCTGTCAATCTCAAGTAGGTACCTCACTCATGCCTATCGTGTCGGCGGCTGCCGATCGGAGTCGCCGGAGATGTTCAAGTCCGGTCAAGACCTAGCTACGAACGTCTCAAGAATGCCAAATAAGGTATTTTATCCTCCAATGTATATGGCTCAGTCAACAGTGAACAATCAACATGAAGCTTCTCCTTGTTGGATGTTCAACAGTGGGGTGGCAGTTCTAGTAGGCGTCGCCTCTGCTGGCGACTCCTCACGTCAATTCTGGGCCCTCCTATGGACCAGCCAATCATCATTCGTGCGTAACGATTGCAACATCGCACGGGTTGGGCGGAAACGACGACGCCGCTATCTTCAGGGTACAAACCTGCCCGATGCACAATCGTTGTGAAGGGTTCATCATATTAGCACATGGCAGGTGTGAGTGATCTTCAAGCCCTCGAATCAAGGTTGGGCAGATCTGTGACAGAGGTAGCTCCTTTGCCTACAATAGAGTGACCTCATGAGCATCACCAGTACCAAGCAGTCGAACTGAATCGCCAGATGAAGTCCATGTGATACTCAGAGGGCGAAAAGCCACGATAAGAAAGACAATCGCGGATCAAAAACAGAGTGCTCAGTTGATCTATTGATTTCCCAGTAGTGGCTCCTCCGAATGCCGCCTCCGGCCGGCGTCTTCATCGTCGTCGCTGGGAGTTGGGACAGCTTGCAGGCGGCCCTGTCGGTTGGCCCTCCTGCGCCAGGGACGGTACACCACGATAGATCCTATGCCGATGATAACGAACAACCCGCAGATGCACGCACCAATGAAGTCAAAGTTGTCGCCGATGGCTTCGATTGCGTCCCAGAATCCTCCTTCGAGATTGCCTATATTTTGGATGAGGGTGAATAGCTGCACGAGACCAATAAAGGCCGAGACGAAGACGGTGATGCCTGTGAGAACAATTGAATAGTAGAGGATGGCGACATGATCTTTGGCGAAGGCCTTGTTGGTGTAAAGAGCCATCATGAGGGCGCCGTCTGTCGTATCAAGCATGCACATTCCCGCTGTGGGAGAGTCAGTGGTGTCCGTGTGTGTATGTGTGTGTCTTGAGAGGGGGACTCGGGGGTTTAGTACCTGTAAACAGTACCGGAAAGATGAGGATGAGCCAGATGCTCGTGCCTTGGGCTCCATGTACGCTCGAGAGGCCGAGAATAGCAATCTCGGAGCTCGTGTCGAAACCAAGTCCGAACAAGATGCCAAGAGGAAACATCTTCCACGGCCTGTCAACAATTCGGAAGACCCTGCGAAAGACGGTGGCCAGGAAGCCTTCCCCTTCCAGCCGCAAATTCTGCACCGCATCGTCGACAGGCTCGTCTTCGTTCCCGTTGTTCGCATCTGGAACCGCCCTGGCCCTCTCTTCTTCTAGCCTCTCATGGAGTTGCTGGATGAGCCGGTACAGCACCCAGCCGTTACCCGCGCAAAGCAGGAGCAGGAAGGTGGCGCTGACGGCAGTGCCAACGATGTTACCAACGCGTGCGAGGCCATCAAAGCGGTCCCGCAAAGCTCCGCTAGTGGCGGCAACGACAACACAGGTGACGATGACGACGGTGCTGTGGCCGAGGGAAAAGAAGGTCCCGACTGAAACAGGCCGCTGGCCCGAAGCGATGAGACGACGTGTCATAAGGTCGATTGCGGAGATGTGATCAGCGTCAAGGGCATGGCGAAGTCCCAGGACATACGCGAGGGCGGCGGCAGAAAGAAGCGAAGGATGTGCCGCGAGTATGATGGCGGCAATGGTCCAGAGAACGACGTTGACGGAGATAAGGAAGGCAATGATGCGAAGGGACGATGCGGGGAGGCCCTTAAAGAGGGCCGGCATGGTAATGCGGAAGCGCGCCATAGCGTCGACAAGGACACAATCTCGGGACAGGTGAAGACCAGAAGGGAGTTTGGATAAACCTCCTGCAGCACTCAAATCCGCGGAATGAGGTCCGAAAAGTTCAGTGAGATGTTTTGTCGACCTGATGTGGTCGGTGGTGGACCCCGCCCAAAGGCGACGCTGGCCATACCCCGCCATCCCTACCAGGTGGGGGCCATCTGCACTTAGACATCAGTCGTGTACCTCAAGGCAGGGACCTAAGCAGAAGAAAAAGTCGTCCCGAGAGCTAGGCATTATACGTCACGACATACAAAGCATAGGTCAGTAATGGATGGCGAGCTGACATGCACCAAGACAAAGCATCGTTGGTCATACAGCTGAAGCACTTGGGAGATGATCATCAATAAATCCGGCTCTCTATTTGGCTCACGGATATGCCTTCCTATCGTCGCACATTCATCAGAACAATCCCGTTCCCTACGCCGGTAACCTTTTTCCTGGCCGAATCGTCAAATATGCTTGTTTTGTGGATGCACGACAAAACCCAAGCGCCAAAGAACCCAACCAGTGCAGCCGTCCCTCGTTCTAATGCGTATCCCCAAGGACACGTCCAACTTGCGCCTGAGATCCATAAATCAAACCTGAACGATATCCATCACCCTAAACCGGGATCGAAAATTATGTTTTGGCGTGCATAGAACACCAGCCGGCCGAGAAGATCAGGTCGGGGTGCCGTACTCTTCGAGAAGAGGCACGTCAGCTTCGAAACTGTAAAGCCGCACTTCTCCATCTTCACTGCCGCTCGCCATGCGGCTGTCGCTGAGTCCGACGCATGTTACTGGTCCCGTATGGCCAGTAAATGTTCTCTCACACTTGCCAGATCGGGGATCCCAAATTTTGACCATGGCATCATTCGCACCGGTCACCATTCGCAATGAGTCACCGACGAGACCCCAGATGCCCTCGACGTGCCCAAACATGGTACGGAGGCATTTGCCTGATGCCGTACACCAAAGCTAAGACAGGTCAGCCAGTTGCACACGCAGCAGAACAGGTCGGAAAAGAAACCTACCTTGACAGTGTTGTCTAAGCCAGCGGTGAGGATGTACCGCGGGGGCAGTGGCCTGGAGGGGTTGTTCGCGAATGCCGCACCGTACGCGGTGCGACTATCATCTTGGCAGGAAGAACCGTGATCATGAAACGACGAGCCTAATGTCGAGGCCGCGTGAACATATGCCGACGGCGTGCTGCTTCGGCCACTCGTGGCAGAGGCAGCGTCAGCGCTGTCGGCTGGGACGAGATCTTCTTCTGGCTCGAACTCCTCCGGCATCAGCAAGACTTGCTGAACCTGTCCCATGTGACCCTCAAGGGTCTTGATGCATGTTTTGTTCTCCAGATCCCAAATCTTGACGGTGCAGTCGTCTGAGGCCGAAAATACAACTTGTGAGACCGGATCGAGCCGGACATGGTTGACCCAATCGTCATGGCCACGCAGAGAGAACGTCTCCTTGCTATCAAAATTGAAAATTTTGACCGACTTATCGATGGAGCCGGAAGCGAGCCACTTGCCATCAAAGTCGACCGAAATCACACCCTCGGAATGGCAGCGCAGTGTGCTAATGCATTCGCCGGTCTGCCAGTTCCACACCTTGATCGTATTGTCGAGACTGCCACTAAATAGTTTGTTGTCGACAAACTTCAAAGCTCGAATGCCCATCGTGTGGCCCGTCAATGTTCGAATCTCTTCTCCTGTCTCGATGTTCCAAATCTTAATCTTCGTGTCGTATGAACCGGTGACGAGTATGTTGTCTTCAAACTGAAGCGCTGTGACGCCATTCTCATGCCCCTTGAACGTCTTGACAGCGCAGCGCCCTCTCGTCCAGTTGTAGGAGATCTTCCATCGGTCTCGGTAAACGCTCTTCCATGGCCTAAATCTCTTGTCGGGTTCCGATTGGCCTACGGAGTCGTCTTCGCTGACGGCGTTATGACAGGTTCTCTTGCGGCTGTCCTCCCGGATGACGAGCTCCCTCTTCTTCGATCCGTTCGTGGTGGCGGAGGTGGCAACAGCGATATGTGATTCTTCCTCTCGCCTCTTCTTCAGCTCCTGCTGCCGTCGCCAGTCACGGAGCTTCTGTCGTTCAAGAAGTGGAAGGCCCCAGCCGCACTTTGTGCACTTGCGATCGATATGCTGCTCGCACATGTGGTGCCAGACGACGTCGTGGTCCGCGAGGTCACGCCAGCGGCGGCTGACCTGGGCTGCTTTGCATAAGGAGACGGTATCGAGGTAGCTCAGGACCTTCCAGGATATCTCTACAGGAAGCGCGGCGACGAAGTCGATTTTCAGTTGTTCATGAACCTCCCGCGAGACGGTCGAGAGCTGGGGAAAACAGCACTGCGTAATGATGCCTTGCAGCCTGAGATAAATAGGTAAGCGATTGTCCTGACAAGTGGTCACAAAAGTCCGACTTACATCAGGTCACGGTGCCGGGCAGGAGCAGCAGAGAAGAGCGACCACACATGAGTGATGGCTTGCTGGTCTGCTGCTGGTAGAGTGTCAAGTTCCTGCTGAATCTTGACCATCTTGCTTTCGTCGGCAGCTCGTCGACATTTGGAATCGGGTCGGTGTCGGTAGCAGAACTTGCTGTTGGGATCCTTTTCTTTCTTGATCTCCTCGGACGCTTGGGTGTCTGGCTTGCCGATGGGCGCATATATGCCGGGTATGTGCTCGCGCAGGAACGGGGTGACGGTCTGGGTGTACAGCTGAGTCGGCATGTTGACGGGTAGCCTTGACGGCTCGTCTTCGTGTGCTCTGCGTCGGTCGCAATTATCTTTGAATGGCTGCTGGCCGGTGATCACATGGCTGTTGTTGACTGCGGTCAGGATGGAGGAAGTGCTGGGGGAGGGCGAGTGGAAGATGGAGCCATTTCTGTGATGAGGGTGACTGTGCGAAGATGGTGAGGTTCCCGTTTGGGTGGAAGCTTCCGTGGAGGCTGCTGACGTGCTCGGACGAGACATGGTGTGTATCGTATCGGAGGACGTGGATCGCAAAGACAGCGCCGCCTTGGTTGTGTTTCGTCGGAGGGACTGCCGGGGATGCGTCAAGCGAAAGGGTGGTCGTGATGGACAGGCACTACCACAGGGGGCGGTCAACCATATCTCGAGACAAGCGCTGGTCGTTTGGGCGAGGAAGCAGGATGGCGTGCTCCTTCCCCTGGTGAGGTACCTGTCAGTACCCTACGAGCGGAGACGGAGGCTCCCTGACGGAGCGGTCGGTAGAGGGACGTGTTGGCTATGTGTCTCGTGCCAACCCGGGGATTGCGTTTGCGGTCGGGGGATGGCGCAGAGAAGGCGTTGACTGGCTGAAAGGCTGTGTATCGCCAGCGCACGCAATCCAGGCGGTCGGTGTCGTCTGGGGTCGACGGCGCAATGCCGGTGGGATGCGCAACGAAGAAGGTTTGGTGATCAATGGTCGGTAGGACAGGTTGTCGTCGCGAAGGCAGAAACTCGTCTTTGCTCTGGTTGCCCGTCGTTGCTTGGGTCCGTGGTCGACCTATGTTGCTTTTGTGGTCGGTCGTATATACAAGCAGTAGCCCACGTGAAGGTTTGTGTCTTAGACGAATCGGACGGGGAGATCTGAGAGGCGGCTCGTGGATGTATTGATAGACGGGCAGTCATCCGCGAAGGCGAAGGCGGCGATTCGAGGTGGTTTGGTGCTTTGGGGCGAGAATGGCGTTATCGCTGGGGTCCATTCTTTACCAGACAAAAGGTGGGGCGTATTCTTTCCAGCTCCAGTGCGGGGGGGCGTAGCGAGTTTAGGGGACGACCTGGCGCTCTCCCGGCACAATGGGCATCGTGGGATGCGCCGCGGGGTGATGTGGGTGATGTGCGTGGGGAGACGACGAGGGATGCGTGGGAAAACATTGATAAGGGTTGAATGTCTCTCGTGGAAGCGATTCTCGATCGATTTTCTTCTGATTTTCTTCACCTTTCTCACATTCAAAGCCTGCGTACTTTGGACATCCAATCGACCGCATAGGCCTGGCGCCTAGCCATTTGTTACTAACAGGAGCGACCCGACTCGGAAGGTCAGGTGGGATTTCGTCAGTCTTGGCTTCGATTAGCTCATTCAACACCAGTCATTTGCCTCGAACAACTTTTCCCGAAATTCCTCCTTCCACCCAGCTGCCTTCCCAATGCATCATTGCGCCAGACGCGAACAGGATATATCGGTACTTCAAGATACGTGAAGGAAATTGCACCACCGATACATGTCATCAGGCTTGACTTGTGTCATCAGGCCCCCGCCATCTGTGTCCTCTGAAACCTTCTACATCAGGCGATTAAGATGCTCACTGAGTTTGATTACTTTCTCAGGCCCATCGAATGGTGGGTCAAGTCAACGCCGATGTCCGGAGCCATGGCCGGCCTTACCACACCTGGGGATTTATCCCTTGGATAAGCTCGAAAATCCGCCGCAAATGGCATTCCACCAAGGCTGACCGCGTTTGCTCGCACCCCCCAATGACAGCTCGCAATCAAAGCTGTCAAATCATCAATTGTGCCATTCGTATAACGTAGATGTATAGCGAGTAGTCTAATATAGCGAGTAGTCTAGCCCGCCTAACTTTCGAAGAACTATACTTTATTATACGTTTATTCTATAACTAGAAATATTAATAACTTATAAAGAAAGCTAGATTATTCTTATTATCTAAATAATAAAAAACGAACTAAGTTTAAGCGCTACGAGTATTACGAAGATCTATAATATACTAAAGATAATACTCCTCCGCTACCTACGTAGTACTATTATTTAATATAATAGCCTTCCTAATTCTACGAAATTAATTAACTTTAAAGAGAAGATTATTATTAAATATATACTTAATTTAGATTTATAATATTACCCTCCTTAGCTTAGTAAAGTTAGAGATATAGCTTCTCGATTATTTATAGATTATAGTATATTATTAATTAAGCTATAATAAATAATAAGCTTTATTAAACGATAATTAATACTC